CACGCGCTCTATAGCAAAAACCTCTCAAAAAAAAAAAAAAAAAAGAATCTAAGGAAACACTGTTTTGTAATATAACTATGTCTTCTCAGAATTACGTATACCAAAATAAACTGGATTATATTGTATTTATTCATTTGCCATATACTCTTCTAAGCCATTTTAATTAGTGACTTTTGAAAAATGGCTTATTATTCTGAAACAAGCTCATAGTTTTGATATCCAGATATTGTTCCATCTTATAAAAATAAGTATTTGGATCTATTTTTAGATGACTTCAAACCTGCTTCTATTGATACTTCTTGTGAAGGAGACCTTGAGGTTGGCAAAGGTGAACAGGTGACAATAACTCTACCAAACTTAGAAGTAAGTATTTCTTTTTCTTTCCTTTTTTTTAAAATAGTTTTGACAATAACTCTACCAAACTTAGAAGTAAGTTTTTCTTTTTCCTTTTTTTTTAAATAGTTTTTTTTTGTTGTTTTGTTATTGTTGTTGTTTGTTTTGTTTTGTTTTAGAGTAAGAGATTTTTGCTATAGGTGCATGTACTCACTGGAGAGACAGAATGTAAGAAATCACCCCCCAGCAGGCATGGCCATGCCACAGTCCTTTCTCCTCTACTCTTCTCTTGAGATTTCTGACCATGCACTCACACGCACCTGGTGTGAGTTTCAAGGCACTGGGTCTGGAACTGGAACCATGGTTGGCCTTGTGGAAATCCAGTGCCTTAATGACTACACCTCCTGTTGGCTCCTTATTTTTACTTTTTTTCAGTTTTTTATATGGTGCATGTGCACTCACTGGAGAGAGACAGAGAGAGGAAAGTGAGAAATTACCCCTTCCATCCTGAGAGCATGACCATGCCTTAGTCCCTCGTACTTCAGTCTTCTCTCAGGACTTTGGGCATGCACATACATGTGCCTGACATGATTTTTCAGTCCCCTGGGTCTGGGACGCAAACCATAGAGTTGACCATGTGGGATCCAGACACCTTAGCCTTCACACTACCTGCTGGCCCAACAGTAAGTATTTCTATATAATGTGACTAGAGAGATCTTTTTGTAGGATTTCTACTAAATTTAAATGGAAATAATTGAACAAATCATGCAGTGATGGTCAGTTAAAATAATTAATAAGCTCAGCAAAGTAAAGTGTTTTAAGGGGCTGACAGGTGGCGTGGTGATTAAGGTCCTAAACTCCCACATGGCTAACTATCGTTTGAGTCCTGGACCTGGAGGCTTGCTTTCTCATTTTCATTCTCTATCTCTGGTATGCACATATGCCCTATAGCAGATTAAGATATTAAAAATAATAATTAATAAAATTAAATAAATAATGAAGTTTTGGAAAGTATTTTCACTAAAATAATCTTAAAATACTTTAATCAATATAATGGTTTCAAGAACTATCAGAGCAAATGACTTGAAAAAAACTGGGATTTATTTATTACATTTTTATTATAAGTCAGATTTTGTATCTAAACAAGGGATAATAACATGTCTGTGGTCTTCTAGTCTTAATCTGTTATAGCAGAAAGACATATTAAACTTATAAGTTAGAGCGTATATAAAACTCTATGCATGCACATAAGTGAAATCAAATACTCTACCTGGTAGAATCTTGAAAGGCTTCGCAAAACAAGCAGTACTTTATTTGAGCCTTCAAAGCTGCCGTCCCCAATGCTTTTATGCTTTTGGAACCAGGACTGGTTTTGTGGAAGATGCTTTATCCAAGGACTGGGGTGGTGAGGGGAGAATGATATCTGGATGAGTCAAGCACGTTATATCTATTGTGCACCTTATTTCTATTACATTGTAATGTGTAACAAAATGATCATGCAGTTCACCATGCTATGGAATCAGCAGAAGAAGCTCTGAACTTGTTTTCCTGTAACTAAATGTTTTTTTTTTTTTTTTTTTTACTCATTTTGGCTATGATTAGCTTGTGAGCTTACTTAAACTGTGATGAGACAAGTACGTGACATAGGAAAAAGGCATGGACAGAAGTGACAAATATCAATATGATACTGCAAGGGTGGGCCATGTGCAGACTAAAATAAGTGTTGGATTCTGACTTAAAGCCTGCCACCAGATGCAGCTTATTTGTCACTTGCCACTCCCTGGGGTTTTGATATGAATCTGCAAGCCATTGTTTATTTTGGTTGCTGTGCAGTCAAATCTCTCTGCTAACACTAATTATTCACATCTGCTCCCTTAGCACTAGCATTTCCACCTTGCAAGCTCTGGATCATCGGACCTTAGATTCATATAAGGAGTGCATAACTTACATCTCTTGCCTGAGCATTCACAGTAGAGTTCGTGCTCCTACCTTGCCTGAGCATTCACAGTAGGGTTTGCACTCCTATGAGAATTTAGTGCTGCTGCTGGTCTGATAGGAGGTGGAGGTTAAGCAGCAATGCCAGCAATTGAGGAGTGGCTGTAAATACAGATGAAACTTTGCTGCATCGCCTGCCACTCACCTTCTGTTGTGCAGCCTGGTTCCAGGGTTTGGGGACCCCTGCTTTAAAGGACATATAATTTTATAAGGTAAATAGAGAATAGAATACTCTGGGCAGGCAAACAGTATGTGAAATTATCTAATGTGAAAGAGCAAGGAGTTTGGGAATAAATGCCTTTATATAGTAAATCACAGTATAATGAAAAATGATTGATAAGAATAGAGATATTCTTATTTTATTATAGACATATTTATATTGTAATGTAGAACTTAGGCATTAATCTGTAGTCATTTGAAGACAAAGATTTTCAAGCTGAGAAAGAACATGGTCATATTTATGTTCTTAGAAGAATTTCAGCAGTAGTTTGGGGAATGAGTTATAAAAGAAAGAGACTAGGTCAGAAAGGCCTTAACCAAAAGTTTTATTTTGTTTTTTCTTTTTAAAAATTTCCAACTGTATCCAAGTAACACTATCAAATACTATTTGCATAAAAATACAAGTTCTTTGTTGTATGTTCTAGTTTCTCAGTGTTTGAGTTAGGAATTTCTTAGTATGCAGCTCAAGTTTCTTTCTCTTTTCTTTTATTCAGACTATTCTCAGAGAAAACCAAGACTGTAACTTTATACTTTAATATATAAGGAAAATGCTGGGCTTTTTGATAGTTTTTCCTTGTTTTAATTTTTGTTGTAGGAGTAGTTTTTTTAGTATGTATAATTGTTTATTTATTTAATTCCATTTGTTGTTATTATTTTTCAATCTGACCAGAGGAAGAAAGGGAAAGAGAGAAAGCAAGCCACCAAGTCCGGGACTCAAACTGCAGTCAGCCATGTGGGAAACCAGCACCTTTAACCATCATGCCACCTGCCGGCCCCCCACCAGAGTGGTATTGTGCTGGTCTGGCTACATTCTCTTTTCCACATTAGTAACATGGCATGTCATGGTCAGAGGAATAGTAAACAAGCCCTCTGTCCTCTAGTCTGTTATCTTTTTCAGTCAGCAGCATTTATTGAGACTCCACTGTTACATCAGACTGTATCAGCTGCTGCTTCTGAGGGTTTTGCTAAGGACTATGAAATTTGTAGGGGGCTTTTTAATGAATATTTTTCTTTTGCTCCCTTAGAAAGTGTAGGAAATGAAAAATTAATTGGATATGACATGTGTTTATAAGTTAACCTTTGTATTACTTTATTAAACTTGTCCAGCTTCTAGTGATTTCTAAAATAGTTTGGAAATTTAATCTCCAATAACTTAAGGCTTCTTTGCTTTATGATGTTTATTAAAGAAAAATCTAAACCAGATGCTTATTTTTTATTTTATTTTATTTTTTTAGTTTTTGCTATTTGTTACATTACCTTGCTGGAGAGAGAGGGAAAGTGAGAAATCACTCCTTGTGGGGATGGCCACACCACAATCCCCTCTCCTCCATTCTTCTTTCAGAACTCTGAGCATATATGCACACTACCCCATATGTCTTTCAACCTCCAGGTCTGGAACTGGAACCATGAAGTTGGCCATTAAGGATCCAGCCACCTTAACTACTACACCAGTGGTTGGCCTGAGGTTCTTAATTTTAGGAGTTACTGAAACATCCTTAAATTGGGAACATCAGATGGCATAATGGATACCTCACTGGACTCCAACAAAGTTGCCTGCAGTTCAAGTCCCGGACCCAGTGGCTTAAAACTCACACCAGGCACATGTGTGTACATGCTCAAAATTCCAAGACTCCTCTTGGATTTTGGAGGAGGAATGATTGCGGTGTGGCCATGCCCCTTGGGTGGTGATTTCTTGCTTTCTGTTTCTCTTTCTCTGTCTCTCTGGTGAGCACACGTGCCCTATAGCAAAAATCTATTTAAAATAAAAAAAAAAACCACTTAAATTGACAATAGGAGTCACTAGCTGTTGGCTCATTCTATAATATTGTTGACTAATGATGATTGGTTTGTAGAAAAATGTTAGTTGGATTCTTCTTTGCCATGTAGCACGTTGTTTTCTCAAATTGCAATCCTCCTAGCTTCATCCCTTACATTACTCTTCTACTCCAAGAAAATGAGAATTCTTACTTTAATTTTTTCCCCTGGGTCCCAGAGTCATTTATTTTTATTTTCATTTTATATATTCAACCAGTCTACATCACTACAGCTTGTAAAGTGAGTTTACTCAACGTGAATACACTTCATACCAATCCAGTTGAAGATACCATATATATTATCATCAACAGATAATCATGCATTTCTGTATCCCAGAATTCTTGCATTTATTAATATATCTTTTTTGTTTACTTATATCCTGCTTTAATCAAGAGTTGCTGTCTACCATGTGTTTGATTATGGTCTCTGTTAAAATACCTCTTGAAAGAATGACAAATGTAGAACACCTGTATGTTCAAGCTTGTAAATTGTTATTGTTTTTTGTTTGTTTGTTTGTTTTTAGAGAGTTTTCTTGCCATAGGGTGCATGAACTTGCTGGAGAGACAGAGACAGAAAGTGAGAAATCACGCCCGAGAGAGGATGGCTGCACCACAATCCCCTCTCCTCCCAGTTTCCTCTCCGGATTTTGGGCATGCACACACATGCATCTGGCATGAGTTTAAGCCACTGGGTCCAGAACTCAGACTGCAGTTGGCTTAACCATTACACCATCTGCTGGTCCCTTAGCCTGTAAATTGTTAATTTCTGAAATATAGAAATCATTTGGGGACAAAATACTCTGGGCAAACAGAACAGTATATGAAAGGCTCTAATGATGAAAGAATAAGTGGAATAAATGACTTTATGTAGTCACTCACCTCTAGTCCACCAGAAATATATCTGAAAAAGAATATACCTCATGGGGCCGCAGGTGGTGTGGTGGTTAAGGTCTTAGAATTCCACATAACTAACCACAGTTGGAGTCCCAGCCCTTGTGGCTTACTTTCACATTTTCCCTCTCTCTCTGTCTGTCTCTCTGTCAAATTAAAGAATAATAATAATAATAATAATAATAAATAATTCTTAAAAAAAGGAATATGCCTCAGTATTTTTGTGTATGTATATGTGTGACCAAGAAAGAGTAAGAGGGAGACTGGTACATGTACCATCTGTGTGCATGTATCTTTTGTCCACTGCAAGGTAGCTACCAGGAATACAGAGAATAGACATGGTCAGTGTCCTAAAAAACAGTTTCCTCTTTCTCCCTCAATGAGAAAGACAGGAAATAACTGATTAAAACTTAGAAATGTATGAACTATCATAAAGGTATATATAGAATATTAAATGAGGGGTAACTCTGTCAGGGGAAGCAGAGAAGGTATGAGGATACACTGAGCCTTGGAGATGAGTTACCCAGGTGCAATCCAGCCACCCCCACCACCATACCAACAGCTGGCCCATAAGGATTTTTAAGCATGGGAGCAATATAATTAGATTTGCCTCTCAACAGAATGGGGAATACAATTGGAAGGAGGGTAAGGAAGAAGATAACAATAATCTAGGTGAAGTGATGATTGAGTAATAGCAAAGTTGGGTGATAGCAGTGAACACTGAAATGATAGGAAATATCCAGTAGTTATTTAGAGCCAAAGATAATTCCTATGCTTAGTAGCTGCCTGGTAACTCTAATATTGGGTCGTCAGAAAAGTCATGAAGCATTTTTGCATAGAAAAAACTGTGTCCTGAGGGACCAGCAGGTGGCGTGGTGGTTAAGGTGCTGGACACTCCCTCATGGCCAACCATGGTTCAAATTCTGGACCTGGTGTCTTGCTTTCTCACTTTCTCTCTGTCTTTCTCTGTCTCTCTCTGATTAAGTTGAATGAATGAATAAATAAAGTTAAATAATTCTTTAAAAAAAGAAAAACTGTGTCATGACTTTACAGACAACCCAATAGTTGCTTTTCTTAGGACATGGGATAAGAGAATGGGCAGAAATTAAAGTTTAAAAGTTAGGAATGATGCTTAATGAGTAAAAAAGTTTAAGTGTATAAAACCTTATTCAGAGTATAGAAAGTAGGTATAGATATTATGAAAAACGTACGTATTACCTGTGATTAGAAGTTGTTCATTTTGTTTGTATTCAACATCGCTATTTGTAAAGGTCTTGATACTTCTTTAGCTGCTGGGTGCAATTAAAAAAACTAATAATCCAGTTCTTATTCTTTAGGAGCTCAAAGTACAGTAATATGCTTTAAGTTTGAGATATATTCCACATTCTGAGTGATAGTATAAATACCTTTAAGAGGAATTAGTTGCACAAATATCTCAACTGTAATTTGGAGTCCTTGGGTGGCTATTTTGGGGGCTCTTACTTGTTTTCATCTAGGGTATCTGAAAAAGTTATTTGCCAGGAAGGTACCCAGTTTATTCTATGTTGAGCATGTTCCTGGCTCGCCAGCTTACCAGAGCTTCAGCTAGTGCTTCACATTTAACCCTTCAGAGTTAGTCTAGACATCGTGTCTTCCGTTGTGTGCTATGCATTTCTTGATTTCCTATAGATCACTATAGTCTTAGAGAGAGGTAAAAAACCTGTTTCTTTCTTTCACTTTTATCATTTTCTCTCCGTATCTCTTAGAATCTCTAAGCTATGCCCCTTTCATGTCATTCTCAGTCACCAAATTTATATCCCATACTCTTCCTAGTGGCTATTTAGTAAATCCTTAATGATTGTTAACTTTTTAGATATGATATGTCCTTTACGCCTTTTAAAAGTCACCCTTTCTAGCCTGATCTAACGGTACAATTGTATTTGACAAAATTATCGTAAATGTTAAAAATTTAATATGCTTTTATAAAGTTTAAAAACAACCAAACAGGCTCAATCACTGTGGCACAGAGATAATGAAAGTGTCTTACAAAGCTGGAAGCCATATGGCTGACTGCTGGTTTGGATCCCCAGGTCAGCCTGGAAACATGCTAGATGAGCCTGGGGATACCCAGGATCTGAGGAGCTGGAGGGCTAGAAAAAGGGGATTGCAGAAAATAAGACCCTGTCGAGGGTTCTTCTTTCTCTTTCTCTTCCTCTTGTGTGTGTGCATGCACGCACACTTTCTATCATAAAACAACAAAGCAAACACACAATATGTTGTTTAGGGATATATATAAGGAGTCTTTAAAAAGTTATTGGAAAATGTATATTATGAAAAAAACTGAATAAATTTCAAAAAAATTTTGTCTCAAAATAAACTCGTATGTTAAGTCTTTTTCTCCAGACTTTGAAGTCTCCTTGTATATGTGACATAAAGCAAGAAAATGATAAACATAAAATTCATTCTGGTTTGGTGTGGCAGGGACAAAGGATAGAGAAGGAGCGTGTAGGTAGATGTAGGTTTTTAGTAAAGGTTTAGGCTTCTTTAACCCTTTACTATGGAAAATAGAATAGTATAATGAACTTCCGTGTACCCATCACTGAGCTTCAATAATTACCAATACTTTGCCAATCTTTTTTTCAATCTAGTTGCCTACCACTTTTCTTTCCTGGCTTATGTGAAAGTAAACCCCAGGCAGTATGCTACTTTGTAAATGTCTATCTATGCATTTCTAACTGATAAGGATGTTTTTAATTTAGTCTGCGTATCATGCTGTTGTCACACCTAGTAGAATTAGTAAATAATATACTTGGTCCATACTCACAGTTTCATGGTGATCTCAAAAATATCTTGTTTACTGATTGTATATAAAGTATCCTAACTAGAATCTGGCACTCTACGCTGTATTTGGATATTACATTTCTTCTCACTTTCCCTCTATTCAAGTTCCTTCTCCTTTTTATGCCATTAATGATAAGTTATTGGATTAAATTGGAGAAACCAAGTTAGAATATACTCATATTCTGCATTTCAAATAACTTGTCTTTGGCATTAACTTGTTCCTCTATTCCCCATATTTCTTATAAACTAGTAATTATATATCTAAAGGCTTAATAAGTGTTAGATTGTTTTGGATTTTTGTTTATTTAGTTTTGGCAAGAGTATTTTATGAGTAATACTGTGTACTTTATATCACACAGTGAAACATGTAGTGTCTGGTTGTTTCTTTCTTTCTTTCTTTTTTTTTTTTTTTTTTTTGAGGTTTATGCCATAATGCACATTGCAATCACCAGAGAGAGGGAAAGTGAGAAATTACCCCCACAGGGGGATGGCCATATCACAGTCCCTTCTCCTCTTGGTATTTTGGGCATGCATGCACACATGGCCAACATGATTTCGAAGCCACTGGGTCCAGGACCCTAATGGTCAAGTTAGCCTACGGAAGTCCAGCACCTTAACCATCATGCCACCTGCTGGCCCCAGTTTCACTTTAAAAAAAAATTTTAATTTTATTTGATTTTTAAATTAATCATCACCATTATTATTATTATTTAATTTGACCAGCGAGAGACAGAGAGAGAGGGAAAGTGAGAAAGCAAGCCGTCAAGTCTGAGACCCAAACTGTGGTCAACTATGTGGGAGTCCAGCACCCTAACTACCAAGCCACCTGCTGGCCCTGCCCCAGTTTCACTTTTAAAGAAGCTAAAATTAGTGGGTTTAGTGTAACAGACATTTGTTGATAACATTTCTTTTCTTTTTTTTGGAGAGGTTTTTGCTATAGGGTGTGTGCTCTCGCCAGCCAGACAGAGAGAGACGGAAAGCGAGAAATCACCCCTAGGGGGGATGGCCACGCCGCAATCCTTTCTCCTCTGTTCTCCTCTCGGGATGTTGGGCACGCACACGCACGCGCCCAGAGTGAGCTTCAAGCCACCGGGTCCAGGATGCAAACCACGATTGACTACATGGGAATCCAGCGACATAGCCATTATGCTAACTGCTGGTCCCACATTTTCTTATTATCCATAAGGAGGTACCATTTTAAGAAAATACAAGATTTTAAAATTAAACTAATAAAGCAATAAGGAAAAGGGTGGGTAAGGGTACATGATTCAAGCTTCTATTCCCTTATCCATGAATATACTGGCTGTATTAGAACTGAATTTTCAAATGCCCATTATAAGCTGATGAAACAAATCTTTACTAACTCAGAGAAAATAACTCCTTTTTTCCCTTTCCTTAATTTTTTTACTATCTTTTTACTATCTTTGTCTCCCTCTTTAAAAAAAAAAAAGACCACACTCTTTGCTTTCAGGGTAGTAAATGTGGGTAGCTTATATGTGACTTGAAGAACAACGGAAATTGTGAAATATAGTGTGGGAAGAACTCAAAGTCCACCTCCCCAACTGAGTTTCTATGGTACATTTCAAGGAATGATAATTAACTTTTTAAACAGGGTTCAACAACGCCAGTAACCGTTTTCAAAGGTTCAAAGAAACCTTACTTAAGAGAATGCATTTTGATTATTAACCGTGATACTGGAGAATGCCGACTAGAAAAACTCAGCAGCAATATCACAGTAAAGAAAACAAGGTAAGCGATTTAATAAAATAAATTATTTATCAACACATAAATTTCTAAGTAAATAATAGGAAAAGTTACTGAATCAAATCATATTATTATATAAGGTATTTCTGCATATCAAAATATTTTAATGTGTTTCTAAGTTTAAACTCAGTGGAAAGCCTTAGCCAAATATTTTTACAATATTGTGATATGTCAAATCTTGCTTTGCATCTGGTGTTCTCTATAAGTATAGATATACTTTTTATTTTAAATGCTTTCTTAAAATTGTACTGAAAAGAATCTGTTATACACTCTCCAAAATGATTTCCCCTTTCTTAGTAAAATTTTAAGTACCTATAATATATAAAGCACTAGAAAATGGAAAGTTTAACAAACATTAAGCTCAGGACTGTATTTTAATTGGATTAACAGACCATACCATTAAAAAAAGTCAATAGGACAATGTAGCCATCTCAGATATTTTTGGAATTAGTAAGGTTTCTTTAAAAGCCATACAAAAATTGCTCTTAAGATTAAATTAAAGGAAGGGAGAGGTTATGATTAATTGGAACATTCAGAGAGGTCTTATTGATATATCTTGAGAGAAGATTAAGATTCTAAGAATTACCTCAGGTGCTTATTAAAAATAAGAATGCTGGGGACCAGCAGTTGGTATAATGGCTGGCTATGTCACTGGACTCACATGTAGTCGACTGCAGTTCAAGTCCCAGACCCAGTGGCTTAAGCTCACACCAGGCACATGTACGTGCATGCCCAAGATCCCAAGAGGAGAATGGAGGAGAAGGGATTGCAGTGTGGCCATCCCCCCTGGGAGGTGATTTCTTGCTTTCTGTCTCTCTGTCTCTGTCTTTCTGGCAAGCACATGCACCCTATAGCAAAACCTCTCCAAAATAAATAAATAATTAAAATTTTTAAGATAAATAAATAATAAGAATCCCGGCCTCTTTATTTATTTACTTATTATTTTAAGAGACATTTTTGCTATAGGGCATGTACACTCACCAGAGAGACAGAAAGCTAGAAATCTCTCCCCAGGGGGGATGACCACGCAGCAATTCCTTCTCATTCTGGGACTTTGGGTACCCCTGCACATACACTTGCATAAGTTTTAAGCTGCTGGGTCCAGGACTTCAACCACGGTCGATTACATGGAAGTCTAGCAATGCAACCATCATGCCATCTGCTGGTCCTGAGTCCTGGCCTTTCTGAGCTACTCTTTCTGTTTGTTCAGGCCCACTCCTATCTCGCAGGAGGGTACTTTCACTTTTATTTAATAAACTGTCCTTTGCTTTCACTATGGGCATGTTTTATTCAATTCTTTGTCCAGAACCCCAAGAACCTGGATATCACCAAAGTCATCCCCCAACAGTTCTGAGGCTGTTTCTTTGATTCATAGAATATCGTTATCTGAGCCCCAGCACTTCCATACAAGAAATCTAGATAACGGTAACTTCTACATATGGGAAAGATGGGGTAGAAGCAATAGGCCTGACTGTTCCATGAAGGGCAGGAGTGGTCCAAAGTAGAGGAGAATCCACAGACAATGTGGAATGCCCAGGTACCCAGGTCCTAGGTTATAATAAAGTCCCAAAATCTAATCTCAGATCAGGGAAGGAGGCTGGGAAACTCTATTTTTTTTATTTATGTTTTTAATATCTTAATACCTCCTCCCATCTCCATTCTCCATGATTCTTACTAATAGTATTATTATTCAGAGCCAGTGAGTAAGACTTGTTAGAATAGAGCAATGATTTGTCTCTGTACCTGTGAATAAGTACTGGGAAGTGAAGGTTGATGTTGATAGTGGTTTAGAGGTAAGGTTAATAAAGATGGGTTGAGATTAGTGCCTGCAGTATTGACTAATTTAGGACATCACCTTGCAAGCAATAGTTACATATTTGAGTCTACTAAACTTAAAACTGAAATGTTTACAGTTTTGTTTTGAAACAGTAATCTAGCAAAGAGACTAAAACGAAACAATGTAGGAAACAGAAAAATGTACAAACTAGGAGTTTTGAGAGCAAAATGAGAGTGAGGCTCTACATACTTTGTAAAGCAAGAACTGGGAGGATTTGATGATTGGAAATGGAGCAAGAAGTCAAGCATAGTTTTGTTATATACTCTTTTTTTTTTTTTTTTTTTGAGAAGTTTTTGTCATAGGGGGCGTGTACTCTCCAGAAAGACCGAGAGAGACAGAGAGACAGAAAGCGAGAAATCACCCCCCAGGGTAGGGATGGCCACACCACAATCCCTTCTCCTCCATTCTCTTCTCAGGATCTTGGGCATGCACGCATACACGCCCGGCGTGAGTTTAAGCCACCTGGTCCAGGACTAGAACTGCAGTCGACTACATGGGAGTCTAGTGACATAGATATTGAAAGAAAAGTAGTAAGAATCCCCTTAACAGCATACCCGTTAGAAGTTTTGAATGGAAACTGTGGAAATTATTTAGCTTTAACAGAAATGGTAATTTCAGAACTCATGGAGTAAACCATCCTTGTTACACACTTAGGTTTTTCCAGTGTCTTATCTATTCAGTTTGAGCAGTGGTTTTTGTTTTTGTTCACATTAGCATGCTTTAGTCAACCTGTGTATGATGCCATACATGTAGCAGGTATACCATAAATACTTGTTAAATAATAAATTAATTTTTAAAAATATTTTAAATTGTTTATTTAATTTCATTTTTTGTAATTATTATTGTTTTTAGTTTGACCAAAGAGAGAAAGAGGGAGAGAGAGAGAGATAGAGGGAAAGTAAGCAAGCAAGCCTCCAGGTCCAGGACTTGAACCGTGGTTGGCCACATGAAAGTCCAGTGCCTTAACCACCATGCCACCTGCCAGTCCCAATAAATTTTTATTCAAGATGTCCAAGACTATCATTTCAGAGTTCTCTAGGGAAAAAGAAAGTGGTCAATTTTAGTAGCTTTGTGAATTGAATGGTTATATTGCTATCATACCTCTTTTGATCTTTGATAATGTTTCCTTGCAGAGTTGAAGGAAGCAGTAAAATTCAGTATCGTTTAGAGCAACAACAACAACAAATGCGGAACCCAACCAGGACTCCGTATCTTCCAAAACATTCTACATCTGAGGACAAGATGTCTCCAGCATCTCCAATGGATGACATTGAAAGAGGTAATGTCTAAATTTTTACAATATCCCTTTACAAGAGATAATTAAGAAATATTAAATGAAATTTCTTGTTTCAATTAACAGTGGGACTAGCTATAAAGTTTTAATGAAAGGTGTTTTTTTTTTTTTTTTGTAATTATACATTTTGCTTGGGCAAAGGTGTACCTTACAGTTTAAGGTATTAAATAAAGGAGACTATATCCATTTAAGAACATTTATATCTTCTTTATTATTCAGGACAAAAATAGTAACTGTTTATATATGTGTAACTGGAGTTTTCTTCTTTTGGGCAGTTGTGATGAGTCAAAGTCAGTTGTTCACATCTTCCTACTGAAGTTCTTTGTACCCAGACTATAGATATCTAAGATAGCACCAAACTAATATGGAAGAGAAGATAAGAGTACTCAGAAACAGCAGGAAGGCATTTCTAGAGAGATACAGCCTTTTTCTTTTTTTTAATTAAAATTTTTTTTATTAGTTTTAGAGATTTTTGCTATTGGATGCTCTCTAGAGAGACAGAAAGTAAGAAATCACCATCCGGGGGAATGGCCACGCCACACAATCCCTTCTCCTCTGTTCTCCTCTTAGGATTTTGGGCATGTGTGCACATGCACCCGGTGAGATTTTTCAAGCTGCCAGGTCTTGGACTTGAATCATGGTCAACCACATGGGAGTCCAGCATCTTAGCCACTATACCACCTGCTGGTCCCCCAGCCATTTTTTTAAAGTAAGAAAATGTAAATCTCAAGTTTTTTTTCTAGCTGCAGTTGGATTGTTGATGTTATGGTAATTGTGGCAGCACTTAAGTCTAGTCACCAAAGTATATTTGTTTCTACACTTTGCCTTCATAGTTTGCACAGAGCTATCTGGTTCCACTTGTGTTCTCCAGTATAATATTCACTCCCTAATGAATTAGTAGTTCCTATACAAACAGTAAGAAGACATAAGCCCAGGACTTTTGTTGGTACAAGATATCTTGAATTTTATTTTATCTTTATATCATATCTACTTCTAAAATAAATCAGAATTATGATGTAATTATATATATACTAGAATATAGTGAAACAAAATCAAGATATCGAAGAGGCATTTGAAGCAAATTTGCTAATTATTAAAACATTAAATATAGCTCTGAGCTTCCTAGCTACCAAGGTAAAAATGAGGACAAAAGTGGCATTTTTTTTCAAGTTTTTTATTATTTAATTAATACATTCTTATGGAAAAAGTTACTCCACACATACCTCTTCTCATTTTTTTGTCATCATGCATACTTTAATTCTAATGAGCATATATAATTAAAGCAATTTGTGAAATAGCCTGTTGCACAACAGAATTTAATTTCTTTTTTTTTTGTTTTGAAATCCAGATTTTATTTGCTTTAATAAGTGGTGTGAGTATATAGTACATATAGGATGATAATAACAGTTAGAGATTTTTAGGAAGCATTTACTATATGCCAGGAAATGTACTAAACACTTTACATACATTTAATTTAATCCTTGAAAACTCTATGAGATAGGTGCTTCAGATGAGGAAAGGGAAGCTCAGAGAGGTGCAGTTGCCTTACTCAATGTTGCTCATGTAGTAACTACATAGTATAGCAGGGAAATGAATCCAGGCAGTCTTCAAACTCCTTCATTGATTTCCATTTGATTAGGAACTAGAAATCCTTCCTGAATGTCTGCTCAAATAGTACAAGTAAAATTCTATTGCCTGGTAAATAAATTCAGTTTAAAAATTATTGCTGGGGCCAGCAGGTGGCATGGTGGTTAAGGACGCTGACTCCCACATGGCTGACCATTGTTCGAGTCCCAGGCCTGGTAGTTTGGTTTCTCACTTTCCCTCTCTCTCTCCCCCTCACTCTGTTCCTCTCTGTTCAAAAAATTAAAATAAATAAATAAATAAAATGATTATTTAAAAATAAGTTATTCCTTCATCAAGTGGCCAACTATTACATGAAAAGATTGTCAACGTCATCAGTAATCAGTGAAATGCAAGTTAAAACCACAGTGAGAAACCATTATACATTTATTAGAATGGCTAATATTAAAAAGATCAACAGTTCCTATGTTGCAAGATTGTGAAACATCTGGAACTCTTTTTTTTAGTCATAATCATATATTTTATTTTTTTATGTTCATTTTTATGTCCTAAACTTCTATTAATAATTCTAAAATATCTCACATTATAAACATAAGCAGCAGTTATAAAGCATGCATGGCTTATACAATTAAATAAAATGAATATCCAGGTACCCACTGCTCAGCTTAACAAATAGAATATTACTTGTTCACATCCCTCATATAACCCTCCTAAAAGCATCCTCAACAGAATTTAATTTCATAATAAACTTTATATATATATTTTTTTCATATATCAAGTGTTTCCTCCTGTTGTACCTCTGACTTACCCTCCACCATCCAATTTAAGGTAACCATTGACATAGTAAGGCGTAAGTGTATCATTTGTAGCATATTTTTATTATCTGAGAGATAGGTTCCAAAGAATCAGATTTTTCTCTGATACTAGATTCTGAAAGGAATTTATCATATGGAACCTGTTCTAGGGAGCATTAAACTGTGTAGTGTCCTCAATAGTAACTCGATGGTACAAGTAGAAGTTCTTCCATGTGGCAGTTTTGTAGCAGAGAACTTAATTAAAGGGTTATATTGAAATATAACTGAGGGAAAAGAGAGCTGTATAGTATAATTAATTTAACCTGATCCAAGCATAAAATTTACTTATTTTTATGAAAACAGAACATTATTTACCTTTTAGTGTTTTTACAGCATGTTCCTTCCTTAGACTGTATTCTAGGAAATATTTTTTTGACAAGAAAAGAGAAGCAGAGTGGTATAAAAGATAGGAAACAAACAGAAAATAAATGACATACTTAAGCCATAATATGTCAGTGATTACCTTAAATATAAATGGTCTCAGTAACTAATTAAAAGGTAGAAATTGACAGAGTATGTACTAGTACTGTCAAAACTTAACCATATGCTCTTTCTGGGAGACTAGTGAAAGGTGAAAAAAAAATATACCTGCATACATTAGTTTTAAAAAGCACATGTGGTAGGGCTGGCAGGTGGCATGCGTGATGGTTAAGAGGGTTGGACTCCCACATGACCGACTGTGGTTCGAGTCCTGGACCTGGCATCTTGCTTTCTCACTTTCCTCTCTCTTTCTCACTCTCACTCTCACTCTATCTATTTTTAATTATTTTTAAAAAATGAAAAGAAAATAAAACACATGTGGACATGTGGCTTTAATAATATCAGACGAAGTAGACTGGAGCAAAACAAATTACTCTAAAGATGTACGTTAAGATTAAAGGGTCAGGACCAGCAGATGGTGTAATGGTTACATTGCTGGACTCTCATGTAGTCGATCACGTTTTTAGTCCTGGACCTGGCAGCTTGAAACACACCGAGCATGTGTGCATGTGTGTCCAAAAATCCCAAGAGGGGAATGGAGGAGAAAGTATTCCAGCATGGCCATCCCCCCTGGGGGTGATTTTTCGCTTTCTGACTCTATCTATCACTCTCGGTCTCTCTGGTGAGCATACATGCCCCATAGCAAAAATAATGATTAAAAGGTTAACTTACCAAGAAGACATAAATGTGTACACATCTAACAGTAGTACTGTAAAATATATGAAGTAAAAACTGATAGAACTGAAAAAAGAAATATAAAAATCTACAATATGCCTGGGTACTTTATCATTCTGCTCTAATAGAACTACTAGACAGGAACTCAACTAAGATATAGAAAAATATGAGCACAAAATCTAATTTATATTTAAAAAATTATTCTATACAACAGTAGAATGTGTCTTTTTATTTTCTTACAAGTGCTCATGGAATTCACCAAATTATATCCTGGGCCCTAAGAGAACCTCAATTTAGTTAGTCAGTCAGTCAGTCTCTCTCTTGCTGTATGGCGCATGTGCTCACCAGAGAGATAAACTAAATTTCTCTCAGTAAAAATAAACTATCTCAATAAATTTATAAAAGTTAAAGCCATATAGACTATATTCTCTGGCCATGATAGAATCAACTAAAAGTAATAACAGACAATGGAAAAACTCAGAAGACTTAGAAATTGAACAACACACTTCCATGTAATCCATGGGTTAAAGAAGAAGGCTCAAAGAAAATTAAAAATAATATAACTAGATGGTCTTTTTAATAAATGGTGCTGGGAAAACTGGATATCCATTTGCAAAAGAATAAAACTAGCCCCCCCCCATCTCTCACTAGCTATAAAAATCAACTCCAAATGGATTAAAGACTAAACATAAACATAACCAAACTGTAAAATTTCTTGAGAAAAAGTATAGGGAAAATACTTGAAAATACTGGAGTAGGCAAAGATTTCTTAAATAAAACCCTAAAGCACAGGCAGTACCACCAAAACTGACAAATTGGATTATGTCAAGTTGAAAAGTTTCTGTCACAGCAAAGGGAACAATAGACAACCAAAAAAGGAGGAAATATTTGCAAACTACGTCTGACAAGGGATTGATAACTAGAATATATAACTCAACAGCTTAAAACTAAGAACCCTGGGCCATGGCATAATGATTATATCGCTGGACTCCCATATAGTTGACCATGGTTCGAGGCCTGGACCAGGAGGCTTAAAACTCACACCAGGCACATGTGCATGCATGCCCAAAATCCCAAAAGGAGAATGGAGGAGAAGGGAGTGCAATGTTGCCATCACCTCTGAGGGTGATTTCTCACTTCCTGTCTTTTGGTCTCTCCAGCAAGCACATGTACTCTATAGCAAAAATCTCTAAAAACAAAAAACCTAAGAACCCAGTTGAAAAATGGACAATCAACCTGCATTAATGAAATAAGATAATTAGAAGGCAGTTCTTGCCAAAATAGCTTTAAATTTTTACAATTTTAGGGGTTTTGTTTTTAACTTTTTTTATTTTTAATTTTGGAGAGGTTTTTGCTATAGGGTGCATGCGCTTGCCAGAAAGACAGAGAGACAG